TGAAGGTGCGGAGAAGGAAAAGGATATGGGAAGGGAGATTGATGAATTAATGAAGGAAAAGAAGCTGAATGAGAAGATCCGCGAGGGATTAATTGAGGAGAAGAATCTTGTTGAGAAGAATATGAATGAAACAACAAATCAATTAGATGAGCATATTCTGAAAATTGACGAATTGGTTAATGAGAAGATTATGTTGGTGAATGCTAAAGATAGGCTTGCAAGTGAAGTCGATTCCCTGCAAAATGAAATCGCTAAATTCCAAGGTTTAGTTTTAGAACTGGAAGTGTCTGGCAGGGATAAGATAGAGAAAATTAAGAACTTAGAATCTGAAATAAGTGGTTATAAATATGAGATTGAGCAGATAAAAGGTGAGAGGAACAACATTAGAAAGTATTTGGATGAAGAGAAACAGAATGCTATAGGATTGAAGGAGAAGATTGAAGAAATGGAGAAAAGAATCGAAGAAAGTGAGAATGCCACTGGGGAAGTGAAGGCTGAGAATCTCACCATACTCAGAGAAAAGAAAGACTTGGAAATCCAGTGTGATGTGTTGAAGAAGTCTATGGCCTCTCTTGAAAAATCACTTGGCGAGGCGCATAATGGGCTTGACGCCATGCAGGGTAAAGTGGAATTTGCGGATGCCAATACAAGTCTAGTTATGAATATGTTGAGGGACACAGTAGCCTTTTGTTCAAAGGAAGAAATGGGGGATGCTGGGGATGGAATTTTACTTGGTGGGAAACAGATTAATGGTGAAGAAATGAAGACACGCGTGGTGGAATTGGAGACAATCAAGAATGCTTTTATGAGTAAAGAGACTAAAATTGAAAACATGAAGAGACAACTCGAATTCCTCCAGATTTCAGTAGCTGAAGCGCACAAGAAGAAGAGCTTTTGGACTGTTTTTTCCTCGGTCACCACACTTTTGGCCGCTGTTTCTCTCGCATTCGCTGCACACGGTCGCTGAATACCTTTACATAGGTTTTCCTAATGAAATCTTCAACACATTTTGGTGTTAAAACTAATGGCGTTAAGATGCTATTGAGGACTATGACTATCTAATTCTCAAGTTTCTTTTTTGTAATAAGTCTCTTGAAGTTGATATTATATCAANTTGTGTTAACTTATTGAAAAATGTTGAATAAGTTTATGTTTTAATTTGTATGATTAGGAGTAATAATGGAATAACGAGTTTTAATTTTTATTGGATTAGAAATATAATTATAAATTTATTGTTGTGTATTTATTGAAAATATATTTTAATTGTGGTGTAGTAAGTAAATTTTGTGGTGGTAAATACTAAGTTTGGTAGTTTGCTCATTTGATTATTTAAAAAATTGTTTTTTCTTCAATCATTTTTTTATAACTAAGCAAGTATCAAACAAGATGTTATTTTTGGGTAATATAATTATCCTAAAATGTATAATTAAAATTAATTATTGAGTTTAATAATTTCTTAAACTACACCAAACAAGGTAAAGCCCTAAAGAGGGTTGGATATCCAACAGTAATCCTCTCGTTTCTCGAGCCCTCCTAAATTTGAATTCGAAAAAAACCCTAAACGATCGCTTTCATTTCCTCTCGATCTGCCGCTTGCATTCTCCCTTATCTCCTCGCGTTGAAGTGTGCATCTCCCGTTTACCTCAGCCATAAAAAAATCCTAGAAAACCCTAAACCTCATACCTTCCATCCTCTCGTTTGCCACAGGACCAAGAAAAATTCCAAGAAACCGAGGCATAGCATACCAATAAAAGCAATGGCCAAGAAGAAAGTGTCCAACACCCACCAACAGAACCCGCATCAGAAGCAAGAGCAACTCGTTCAGATCCCGCGGCAGGACTCGGAAGCTATGGAGAGTGAGGCCTCAGTTAAGCTAGAAAGTCTCAAGTCTCTGAATAAGAGGCTTATTGAGGAGGCAGTTGAGCGCCGCCAACAGGTGGATTCGCTCATGCAATCGAAAGTGTCTCTGGAATCGGAACTTACTCGGTCTAACTCGGAGATGGAGGTGTTGCGGAAAGAGCTGACTGAGGTGAGTGAGAGGGTTGTGAACTTGGAACTGGAAAGGAGTGTTGTTTCTGTGTTTGTTGCTTTGGAGGTGGATCACCAGACTGAGGTGGTTGAGGGGAAAACCAAGGGATTGGAGAGTAAAATAAAGGATTTGTTAAGGGTGATTGACGAAAATGAACGCAGAATCGGGTTGTTGAATGAGAATTTGAGCGTGACTGGAGGAGAATTGGAATCTGAGCGAGAGAGTTCGAGATGGGTTATTGAAGAGAGGGATGAAATCAAGGGTAAGCTTGATGTGCAAATAGAAGTGGCCAATGGATTGAGGGCGAATTTGGTTGAACTGGAGGAAGGGAAAAAACTGATCGAGCAAGAAATAGAAATATTGCAGGTCCAATATAATCGTTCCATGGATGAAAAACAAGAGAGGGAGAGGAAAATGGAGGTAATGATGAGTGAAAAAAAATTGGTCGACAAGAGTTTAGTTGAGTCGAATAAGTTGATCGAGGAAATGAAGAAAGAGATTCAGGAAATTATCAAGGAAAAACAAAGAATTGAAGAAGAGAAAAAAATGGAAATATTGAAGGTAAGTGAGTTGGAGAATGTGGTGATTGGACTGAATGAGAAGGTGACGAGTTTGCTAAACGAGGAGGAAAAGTTGCGTGTAAATGTAGCCGAGTTGGAGAAGAAATGCACTGAAGGTGCGGAGAAGGAAAAGGATATGGGAAGGGAGATTGATGAATTAATGAAGGAAAAGAAGCTGAATGAGAAGATCCGCG